AGAGGTTGTGGAACATGGGGAAGTCCTTGATATCGCATGGAGTGACTACGACAGGGATTGTGAAGAGCACATGGCTTTATATCATCTTGCTGTTGGTCACCATATGGATGCGCTAGATCTAGCTCGCCGTGTCTATCATGGCAACAGCAAAGGCGTTACCGATATACCAGACGAGTTCATCATAGCGCTCTTCTTAGATGATCGGATTACCGAGGAAGCGAGAGACGCGTATCGCGCGGTATTGGCTGAGTTGTCGGTTTGGCACTCCGAACCGGAATCCGAACCGGTAAAAGGTGAGACTCATGAGCAGGCGCAGTGCTGTGGACTGGTGGAAGGAATGCGGGGACATACTTTCTTCAGCACGAAAGGCGGTCGCATCGGATACGCTCATCCAGGCTGCAAACCAGGAGATCAAGTCGCTACCTTCTACGGAGGAGAACCACTATACATCATCCGGCAGCTAAACCCTACGAAAGACGACATCGACTCGACTGGACAAGCTTCCGATGACGTTCAGTATATGGGCGCTGCATTCATCCCTCATCTCATGGAGCAACATCAGAGAGACGCCGCTCACCTCGGACCCGACACTATTTTCATGATTCACTGAGAGATTTGGGATTCTTCGCGTGAACTGCATCGTGCAAGGAGGTCGTTTATAAGAGCAGAAGACGAATACATGCCAAGGAAAGAAGAAGTTATGGCTTTACGACCGCAACATTTCTCGTCTTGTTTTTAGAGAACAGTGTCGAAGACCCCTCATTACCTACAACTCTCATATCAGTATCAAGCAGATCAAGAAATTGCCAGATCAGGATCAATATCTCACATGTAGGCCGGGGTTCAAGCAATTCTGCAATCATCTTACAAGCTTTCGCTCTCGGTATTTTGAATAGCATAACCATGGTATATCCATAACACGACCCACCTACAACTTCCTACTCCTAACAAGCCCAGATTTAATACCCGTAAGTTCACCCCCATAGTTCGCACTGCCCTTGGCCGCAGCCCCCTTATCAAACACCTGCTTCATACTCTTGAGCTTCTTCTGCTTCTCCTTGTACTTCTCCTTCTTCTTGACACGCGGGTTCCGCACGCTCTTTTTGCGGTGGGGCGTCAATCTAGTCATCACGTTAGCATTTGTCCCAGAAAAGTCAGGGAAATGGGATAGGGAGATGGAGGAGAACATACCCCTTGTTCTTCTGAATCTGATAAGAAATCATACGACGCCCATCATCGCCAACGACTTCCTCTTCGATAACCTGAGCGCCTTGCTTCTTAGCGAGGGCATAAGCTTCCGCGCGTTCAAGTTTAGTCTGCTTCTTGTCCTCCGAGCGCGCGGCGATCATGTCGTAGTAACCATCCTCATCTTCAAAGTCGTCGCGTTTGGTCGCTGGCGCTTCATCAGCAGACGAAGCGCCGTCGTCTTCGCCCAGTGCAACACCAGGACCAGCGTCCTTGTGTTGCCCACGCTTCTCGGCTTCGGCCTGCAGACGCGCTTGTCTGTCCTTGAGTCGCTCGCGGTGCGGGATGTCGGCGTCGCCGCCCATATCTTTGCCAGCGGCGTCGCGCTTGTTTGCCTTTTGAGCGATTTGCGAGGTGTAGAAACGGAGAGATTTCTTCTTCTTGGCTTTTTCGGCGGCTTCGTGGGCGGTGAGTTCGGTTTCCTCGCCGAAGTCTGAGTCATCTGCGTTGAGGAGGTTGAGCTTGGGTTCTGCGGTCTTCTTCTTGCGCGATGCTTTCTTGAGGGCGGCCTTGTCGGCGAGGGTGTCGAGTGATGCGAGGTCTTGCTCCGTCTTTGCGAGCTTCGCGGCGCGTCGCGCTGCTGTTTCTGCTTGTGCTAGTTCGGCTGCTCGTTCCGCTCTGGTCTTCTTCTGCTTTGTGGGTTTCTTGACGGTCAGGTCGTTTTCGAGTTCCTCGACGCTCACGTCCTCCATAGCTGAGTCGTCGTCGTCACCGGTCTCTACCATGGGATCTGCGATAGGTAGGTTTTCTATCCGCGTCCATACCTTCTGGCACTTTAGCAGGGTCTCCATAACTGGGTGTTCGTGTAGCTCAGCAGGATCCATTGCGATGACCGGTGACCCATCATCCGTTGCAGTCGAGCCGAGTACAGCAAAGTACATGGCCATCGCTGCGAGGTATGCGGCGCAAGCCCGGTATTTTGTGACAGCCTTTGGTGTTGGTGGGATTCTATCCGTCTTCCCCGACTTCGCCATTTGTGCCTTCAGCACCTTCTCGGCGGCCTTTGCGGCGGCGGCCAATTCCTCGTGCAGCGGTTGCAGTCTCAGGTATTCTTTCGAAATGTGCTCGAACTCGGGGTATCGTGTGCGCATGATCTTCATCCTCTCTTCTTCGGTCATGTTATCCGTAATTTGAAGTTGCGGCAGGACCTCCGTCACGACAGCGCCACCTTCTGCATCTTTCTCTCCCTCCTGCGCCATCCACTCGTCCTCGTCAAAGCCAAAGTCCGCCTCCGTCATGCTCTGTAGCTGCTTCTTTTGTATGCGCCGTGCCTCCGCTTCTTCGTCCAAAGCGTCTTGCTCTGTTTCTATCGCATCGGCGTTGTAGTAATCCTTCTTCGAGGTACCCCATCCACCAACGTCTTCATCTTCTTCGTCGGCTGGTTTGCGCGTTCCCGTGACATCGTCTCCTGATTCATCGCCAGTGTCTTGGTCGTCGAAGCCGTCTTCGTCTTCGTCGTCGTCGCTGCCAGCGTCGAGGATTTCTTCGTCCGAGGCCTCTAAGAATTTGTCTAGATCCAGATCAGCTATCGCATTCCATACACATGACTGCGCTTAACTAACCCTCTTCTTGATACTTTCTCAGTCTCTTAGCCGCCGGCCCTTCATCCAGCAGTACCTTGTCGCGATTGATATGGAACTCGTCCTCGGAATCCGCAACATCCTCATACGAGTTGACCGCCATCCTGGAGTCCTCCTCTTTTAGCGCTTTGGGCGCGCGCGATCCGCCGCTACCAGCCTTTCTCTTTTTTGCCATGATTGCGATATGTGTTGGTGCGTGGCGTATGTGGTGGTCGCAAAGTGTCGCGGGAACTTTTTTTCGGTAAGAAGTCTTGGCTTTACCGCGGAGGTCGGAAAGTCTCCACTAGTGGAGCGGAGCTAAGCTGCAGGGCGTGTGCGTATGTAAGCACGCCGCATGTGAATTCGATACTGACACGCGATTTCACCGTACACCAATTGAGCATTGCGGTCAATTCGTCCGCGTAAGCAGAGTCAGATATCAGACGTCCGACAATTCCTTTTGTTGGAGTTATACAGTGCCGTTCCTCATGTCCCAACTGCTTCTCGGAGCGACCATCATCCTCTTGGTGCTCGTTGGAATTATTAGTGCGGACATCATGGGTTTCGCATTCTGGAAAGGCAACCAATTCCCGGTGGAGGGCAGAGTAAGCTTGAGACCTCCCATTCAATTCGAGTACGTGCTAATGGCATATATAGACGATCCTACTTACGGGCTCCTCCCAAGGAATGGGCTGCGAAATTGCCCGTCTCCTCTCCGCCCGCGGCGCAAACCTCATCCTCGTCGCACGCACCGCAAAGAACCTCGAAACCGCCCTAGCCCACGCGAAAGCCCATGCCAAGAACCCCTCGACCCAACGCTTCACCTACATCGCCGCCGACGTAACCTCCGAGGCCGAGAACACACGCATTCTGAAGGAAGCCACAGCTTGGAATGATGGACACGTGCCGGAGATAGTGTGGTGTGTTGCGGGTTCTTCAGTACCAGGTCTCTTCATCGAGACTAGCACTGAGACGCTGAGGAGACAGATGGAGCTGAATTACTTCGCGTCAGCATACATGGCACACAAGACACTGCAGGCATGGTTTTACCCCGAAGTACCGTACAAGCCGCAAGAAAATGGTGCTACCCCAGAACTACCTCGCAAGTTCATCATGACCTCATCCGCGCTCGCCTTCATGAATCTCGCAGGCTACTCCGCCTACTCCCCCGCCAAAGCCGCGATCCGATCCCTCGCCGACGGCCTCCGCTCCGAAGTCCAGCTTTACAATGCGGCGCGCCGCTCCAAGACGAGTAGCACCGGTGTGGTACCTGCACCCTTCGACGTCGATATCCACGTTGTATTCCCAGGCAGTATCCTATCCCCCGGTTTCGAGAACGAGAACAAAACGAAACATCCCGTGAGCTTCGAGCTAGAGTCTTCCGACCCAAAGCAGACCGAGCTGGAAGCTGCGACGGCGGCTATCAAAGGACTGGAGGGTGGCGATTTCATGACTCCCACAAACTGGCTGGTGCATTTGATGCGTTATGGCTCCATGTCCGGTAGCCAGAGGAATAACGTGGTTGTCGATACTATCGGAGCATGGATTGCGACAATCATCTGGTTGGTCATGGTGCCGGATCTGAATGGCAAAGTCTGGGCTTGGGGCAAGAAGAATGGCATGAGCGTGTTCAGGCCGAATGCGCAGTAGATGAGGTTTTGTATTATGAATAGCATATGCGTATACCCCAGGTGACATTATACTCCGATAGTGAAATTTTAGATGTTGCGATCAGCCAAGAACCCCCAGGACTCTCCAGCAGTGGAATCCATCCAATGCGCTCGTGGAATGATGTCTGGCATATTGTACCCAGGCTGATAAGATCGCAGTACATGTGCCGGTACACGTATAGCGATAGCATCCTTGAACGTACTTCCGGTGTGACCTGACATTTGATAGCGATAGCCCTTGACAAAGCATTGCCATGGATATGGAGTCTCGTACTCTAGTCGATGTGCACGACCATGTGGATCATCTTCTATATCCTCAAGATCTACCGGGACGCCAGTGACCAGAACGTCTAAGCTAGGACACCAACCATGCCCAGCGACGTATTTGAAGAAATCGCTGGCAAATTTCATAGGTTGGAGCTCTGACTCATTCCGGTATGTGTCGCTTTCGAAGATGTGGGGATCGTATGTAAATAGGACTGAGCGCAATTGCGTCATCTGCTCGAAAGAGTCCTATAATCGTTAGTCATGTTGTTATAGTGCGTGAAAGAACCCTGCTTGCCATAAACTCTTCAACGTCCTCATCTTTGAAGGGGTCTTCGTCTTCTTCCCCTTCGTCTTCGTCTTCTTCTTCATCCTCGTCTTCCCACTCATCCTCGTCTTCGTCTTCTTCTCCGCCCTCGTCTTCGTCTTCTTCTCCATCCTCGTCTTCGTCTTCTTCTCCATCCTCGTCTTCGTCTTCGTGCGCTTCCCATGCGTTAGATCGTATGGCATCGATAGACAGTGGTAAGCGAAGATGTTCCGCATTCCGGCATTTTGAAAGTAGGCGCGATAATTGACCGTTCCAATGGCTGAAAAGAGTCACATCGTATCGATGCTGGACGCCGAGACTCTTTAATCCAGGGCCCCTGTGCTCGATCATGCGCCAGAATTTGTCTAGATTGATTGCACATCTCCAGACGAGATGCAGACTAGTAAGGTTTTCGCAGCAGTAAAGGAAATCTGAGATGGTATCCCTGAGATTAATGGTAGCATACACATGCTCCAAAGCAGGGGTTCTGCCATTGAGGGTAGACACAAACTTGTCGTAAAAAGTGGCGTTCTCACAATCGAACAACGCAAGAGTTTTGACGTTGCTGAAATCGATGGTGGCTGCCAAGCAGCACCAAATCTCGTCAGCATCGACGTTGTATAACTTCAGATGGGGCAACTTCAAGAGTCTGCTTTCCGAGTCGGCGGATTCGTGTACATTGTGGTCGTGTCCCTCACCGCCGGCCCGAAAGCTTGTGAGATCTATACTCACCGGCTCGAGGCAACGGAGCTGTAGATGTTGCAGTTCTCGTTGACTACTCTTGAGCAGATGAAAGATATCTTTTCGGAGACTTCGTCTGGCAATAAATCTAAGTTTGCCTAGTGATCAGTCTCTATAGTAACTTATGGTGAGATGAACTAACCTGAAGGCATGAAGCTGATTCTTTGGAAGCATGGAGATCAAAAGATGCATCAGCACGTCTCTTGCATCAGCCGCACTAACCAGGTGCAGATGGTTCGGCGGTGGTGCATCATCCCCTGGATCACATAACTCATCTTCGAAAGATAAGCTCCTGATGTGACGCAGGTGGTAACCGGCCCCTGCAGCAATGCATTTGAAGAATTTTCCCAGGCCTTCTTCCCCAGTGCGTAAGTAGACAATATGGTACAGTCGCGGTAAACAGAGGTGACGCAGGTGTTTCGACGTCAGGCAAAGAGATTTAAGGTCGCGTTTCGTATGGATGTATCCGAGTATGAGGAGCTGGACCTCGTTCGAAAGAGACTGCATGACGCGTTGAGATGGTGTGGAGGGAGAGATCTCGCGAGAAGTCGATATTTGCACGCGACGCGCCTGCTGTTCCGTGTCGTTCGCGTTGCCCCGCTGCTTTAGGAAGCCGCCAGGGGTCCCCAGCACGACGTCACGTGAGAGAACCGTGCCCCTCATCCGACCACTTCGCACTCCCATTGCGCAACCAATCCTCCATCCCCACTCATCGCATCATGGAAATTCACGCACTCGACACCCGCCTGAAAGCCGAGCTTGTCGAAGATGTCAAGCGGATGATACTGGAACATGCGCGACTTCTGCGTTGAACAGCACAGCGCCAAACAGAAGTTCGTTGTTAGCTGATCGCATTTCCCAGCTTTCGCTCTACTCGGATCTGAAAGCGCTTTACTTGGTTTCGAAGGACTGGAACAGCATCGCTACGGAGTACCAGTACCGAAAGACCGTGCTACAGAACAGTGCATATGCTCGCGATGACCGGCTGTCGAACTGGCTCTTTCCAGGCACTGCCACTGTATTCCGGCGATGCCTTGACATCAGCGCGCGAAAGCACTTGATACACACGCGGAGTCTGAACCGACTAGAGGGCACGCGATATGAACCAGGGTCTGGCTCAGCTAACAATTCTGCCCCCGGTAACTACGCTGTCTCTGTCCGTGTGCAAATATCAACCACTACAATACCTGTCCAGCTCATCCAAACTGCGGAATCTTGTTTACTTCGGACTACGGAATAACGACAAGTTAAACAACTCCGTGAACGAAGACGGTAAAGCGCTGGTGACACGGAACCAGATCTTCGGCACTTTTGTCTCCACATGCGTGAACTCCAAAATGTGTCTTCAGACTCAATAACACAGCGCGCTTTCTAGGAACCGATCGAAAAGCTTAAGAAGCTGAATATGCTGCATCTTTATCAAGGCCGCAACATTGAAGTCCCTAATTTCCTCCTCTCTGCCTGAAGTGGATGCTCGCGACATGCATCACCGACTCGCGACACGGTTTTTTTAATGGACACATACACGATGTCCCTCCCTCAAGATGCTCATAATCGCGCCAAATTCGGCGACCCTTCATTATGGGGAGGCATATCCTGAGCCGGACAGAAGGAACGCAAGTCCAGAGTTGTCATACAAAATCGTGGAGAATTCAGCGCAACAGAGTTTCTCAAAGAAGGTTGTAGAGATCGACAATGGGACCTCCCAGATCGAAGCGACAAGACTCACTCAAAGTCGACTTCGAGCGGACTTTCCAGAGCTGTATACATTTGACTACGATACCGACACTCTGGTAGCAGACCGCCTGGCCTAAGAGGTTGTATAGCATGCGATGGTTTTGGCTTGGGCCGGGAAGCGAATGAGCCTGATTCCCGAACCAGATTTTCGCCTCTCAGGCCCCTAGTCCCATACGTGGAGTTGAGCATCTACCTCGGCGGATGCAGCTATAGAAGATGCACAGGGGCTCCAGCGTTGACCATCACATGGAATTGAGCCAAGTCAGATTTGCTAGCGTGGAATGCCCTGAACGAAAACACGGCTCGGATGCGTGTCATGTCCAGTCTCCCGGACCTGCGGACTCATGGAACCGGCGCTACTATCGACGATCACGACGATCATCCAGAGGGCCGTCGTCTCATCGCATTTGCTAGAACATCAATACGACCGAGACAATTGCCGATATCATGGTATTTCCAGAGCTGCATCCAAGTGCGTGAAAAGACTGATGGACGGCTCAGCAGCAGAATCCAATAGCGGTTCTCCGGAAGCGAGCCGCTGGACCCTTGCCCCAAGACACAGTGGAGCTGCGAACCGCGGGGACAGACGGATGCGGAGACTACACAGAAGGGAGCTGCTATCCCGAGGCTAAAATTACGGCATGAAGTCGCCATGCTCATCGCTCATGCCACCGAAAGGTTAATTCCCGTACAGACCAGGCATCTCAACCGTACCGAATCATTCACCTGCACCCATGGTCAAAGGGTACCCCATTGTTTGACCCCACAAGCGCGATATAGATCCACTGCAGATCAATGGTTTCCAGATGCATCTACGTTGTAAACATCGCTGACTGCCGTTGCTGTATATATCCGCGTAAGCGCGTGTTGATTGCCCGTCTTCAATTGAAGAGCGCCGTAATGAATTCTGATTCGATTGCAGATTCGATGCTTACCGGGCATAATGCAAGTATTGCCACGCGGGATCTCTGGGTGCGCAGCTATATTAGTCGAGCGTTTAGATCGTACCGGCTTGGCTAGACGAGGCGCAATACTACATACACGAGCCGCATACCGGACGTGAGCCCGCGTGCAGCGTTTCGCTACGGCAGTTCTGCCAGCCTCGCCAACATCAACAACGTGGCAATCACAAGATTCAAGTTCTCGAGATATCTGGATTGTGGCGAAAAGAATAAGCCATACAAGCACCGTTGTCTTGGCGGACAGTCTACCAGGGCCCCAAGATTATCCGGGTGAATAGGATCGCCGCAAAGACGCCAACTCATTTGTGTTTCCCAGCGGCCCGGTACCGACGATGTGTTCTAGTGCGAATTAATTACCTCTTGGGGCTCTACTGCCGCTGTTGAGTGCGGCTCGGATTTCCAGGTACCCTGGGCCTGGAAGACGGTACGCCAGACTAGCAGTACTACCTCTTGCGCTCTGCTAGTATTAGGCCAATCTCAGAGCATGAGTGTTTGCTGCAGGGCGTACCGCGTTGCTAATGACAAAGGCTAGAGCTTCTCCGAGAATGTGCGCTAGGCTAGCTAGGGAACTGCGAAGCGTTTGTAGCCATGACTGAGATAAATAGACGGCAAGCCCATGGGTACCTTGTGGACAGTCGATCGACTCTGTATACCCTCCTCCCTTCGTCAATATGGGTCGCTTCACATTATTCGCTCCGCTCCTGCTGGTGACCAATGGTGTCTTGGGCGCCAAATGGATTGGTGAGGTCAAGAAGGTGGATGGCGTTGACTACCAGTGTAAGCAAACCCGCTCTTCGATTCATTGGAATGTATGCTAATTATTGGACCCCAGGCAAATGCTACTCCGACAACTCCTGCTGGCCGACCAACAAAGACTGGTCGAAGCTCAACCAGACCGTCTCGGGCGCACTCCAGCTCGCCATCCCACCAGGCGCTGTTTGCTACACCAACTTCGGAAACGGAACTAGCGTCTACGATGCGGCGAAGTGTGCGGATACTCAAGCCAACTGGGCAAATGAGCAATGGCTGTATGAGCAACTTTCTTGGGGAACACAAGTGACGATGCTAACGCAATGTTAGAACTGACCATCCTATCGCCGAGCTCTGGCCGTTCAAAACCAACAACACTTGCATGCCGACGGACGACCCCTCGGGTAGTTGCACACAAGGCATGTACGGAAAGTACGTCATCATGGCGACTACAAGGGAACAGATCAAAGCGGGTGTGGACTTTGCTCGAGAGCGCAACCTTCGTTTGATCATTCGTAACACTGGTCACGACTTCATGTAAGACAATCTCTTGTCTCTTGAAGCACGACAGAACTGACGGAAGTACAGGGGCCGTTCCACAGGATACGGTTCACTCATCATCAACACCCACAGCTTCAGAGACGTCAAGTTCCTGAAGAAGTACACCGGACCTGGAGACTGGAAGGGCACTGCAGCTATTGTCGGCGCTGGTGTCCAGGGCCGCGAGCTATTCCGACAGTGCTTCAACCAGAGTCCCAAGGTAGTCATCGTTGGAGGAGAGTGCCCAACCGTTGGCTGGGGCGGTGGCTACATCCAAGGAGGCGGCCACGGCCCACTGACCGGTATCTACGGCATGGGCGCCGACAACGTCCTCTCCTTCGACGCCATCACCGCCGAGGGCAAATACGTAACCGCCAACGCGAAAGAAAACTCCGACCTCTTCTGGGCTCTCAAGGGCGGCGGCCCCAGCTCCTTCGCCGTCGTCGTCGCCATCACCGTCAAGACCTTCCCTGAGGTCCCCACCGCCGGCACTATCCTCAACATCAACTCCACCCACACCAACGACACCGAGCTGTTTGCCAAGGGCGTCCACATCTTCCACAACCTCGCCAACCACTACAGCTCGCACGGCATGTTCGTCTACTTCGAAGTAGGCCCCGGCCCGCAACGCCTCCACATCGCGCCCTTTGTCGGCCCCAAGATGAACAAAGAACAGCTTGAGACAGTCATGGCACCCCTCTACTCACAACTCGACGCCGCCGGCGTCCCCTACGACACCC